GACCAGAGCAATACAGCGTAGTATGGTAGTCTGATCTTAGCATCATACTTCTGCCTACTTCACTCTACTCTCTCTGAGTTAGCCACTCCCAAGACAAAGCACTTAGCTTCACTCTTGCAACTACCAGAACTACACAAGTGAGTGCTGGGGTTAGGGTTAGAGTTAGGGTCAAGGGCGATACCTTGACAAGAAGGATGGCTAGTAATCTACATTGATGACATCCTCATCTATTCCACTGACCATGCAGAACATCGACAATGTACTCAACTGGTTCTCCAGCGTCTGAAAGAATCAGATCTGTTTCTCAAACCCAAGAAGTGCTTCTTTGACATATCAGAAGTCAAATTTCTAGGGTTTATTCTCCGACCAGGACAAATAGGGATGGCAGAAGATAAGGTATCAGCAGTACTAAATTGGCCAAAAATTGACAGTGTCAAAGCACTGCAGCAGTTCCTAGGTTTTGCCAACTTCTACCACCAATTCATTCCAGGATATTCCAAAGTTGCACAACCTCTATTCGACCTATTGGTAAAAGGGATCAAGTGGAGATGGACTAATGATCACGACAAAGCCATCAATCAACTCAAGGAATGTTTCAAGACTCAACCACTTTTGGTACAACCTGATGTTACTAAACCATTCCAAATAGAGTCCGATGCTTCCCTGAAAGCTTCTGGCGGTACCCTATCTCAGAAAAAATCTGATGGAAAATGGCATCCATGTGCTTTCCTATCCCAGTCATTCTCTCCCATAGAACAACGATACAAAATCTATGATCGAGAACTCTTGGCAATCATCAGATGTTTCAAACTGGCGATACTACATTGAAGGATGACAGAACCAGTGGAAGTATTGACAGATCATATGAATCTGACCTATTTCAAAGATCCCCAAAAATTGAACCCTCGACAGGCATGATGGGCATTGTACCTGTCTATGTTCAATTATTGTCTTTGCCATGTCCCAGGAACTCGTTTAGGCAAAGCAGATGCCCTATCATGCATTGATCAAGATGCATCTGAAGGAGGGGGTGAACTCCCTGTGGAAGAAGTCCTTCTTCCATCAGAAGTCTTCATCCAAGCCATTTAGAACCTCGAACCCATCAATACAGACATCAAACAATGCATCTTGACCTGCAAAACAAAGTACAGCATTGCCGATCACGGTCTTTGGCTAGCATTACAGCACACTTCATCCACAGACAAGCGTAATCCTCCTAACTGGGATATTCAAGATGACTTGCTAGTATTCAGAGGACAAGTCTACATACCCAAGGACACCAAACTTTGACAGGACCTCATCCAGGAAGCCCACAATTCCCCTACCACAAGACACCCTGGATGATACAAAACACAAGAAATCCTTCAACAAACCTATTGGTGGCCCACCCTTGCTCAAGACATCAGTGAATACATTACTGGCTGTGCAATTTGCCAAGAAAACAAGATCGTCACACATAGGAACTCACCGGATCTAGTACCCATCTCAATAGAACATCACCTTCCATTCCAATCCATCGCCATGGATTTCATCATGGACCTTCCTCAGAGCAATGGCTTTGACAGCTATCTGATAGTAACTGATCATGACTGTACCAAGGTCTCAGTATTCATACTCTGCAACAAAACAGTTACAACATCCAAAACTGCCACCCTGTATCAGAATCATGTCTTCCGATGATTTGGACTACCTGTCAAAGCTATCTCCGACAGAGGACCACAGTTTGCATCACAATGTTCAGAGAACTATGCACTAAATTAGGCATCAAACAGAACATCACCAGTGCGTTTCACCCTCAAACTGATGGACAGTCAGAATGCGTCAACCAAGACTTGGAACTGTATCTTCGGATCTTTTGCAATCACCGAGCAACAGACTGGACACATCACCTGCCGCTAGTGGAATTCGCACATAACAATAGATATCATGATGCAATCAAGATGTCTCCCTTCCAGGTGCTCATGGGTTACCAACCTCAGCATAATATTCCCACTATGGGAACAACTGATGCTCCGGACATTGCTTCTAGACTCACCCAGCTAGCACATCTTTGCAAAGAGATCCAATCCAGTATTCAACCAGCAGAAGAAACAGTCAAGAAACAGAATAAGGACAGGTTTGTTGAATACATACCTGGACAGAAGGTATGGCTGGAAGCAACCAACCTCAAAGGTCTCCACCCAAAAGCCAAACTTGGACCAAAGTGCTATGGACCCTTCACCATCGATCAGAAGCTGTCATCAGTAGTTTATTGGCTGAAACTACCACCCAAATAGAAGATCCATCCAGTGTTCTATGCAGGATTACTCTATCCTTATTCGGAAACAACAATGCACGGGAAGAACTACCTCCGACCTCCACCAGAACTAATCAAGAACCAGGAGGAGTTTGAAATTGAATGTATCATTGATTCAAAGACAGTTGGCAAGCAAACACTGTGCCAGGTACAATGGAAAGGATACCTGGCCTTGGACGACTCCTGGCTACCGAAAGCCGAAATATCACATGCCAAAGATGCTTTGACAGACTTTCTGCAACCAAACAAAGGGTGACTCTTTATAAAAACCATCCTTCCTTGGTCTACCCAAGGGCATCCACTACCATCCTTACTGCACTCCTTATCCTCACCTGGTTCCTTGTTGCCGTCCTCGTCCTCATCCTCACCCTCGTTTCAAAGAGACCTACAATGTCACGTGATGACCCACAGTGACTCTACCCTAGACCCAAAACCTAACCCTAAACCCTACTGTACTCACTATCTGAAAGCTTCTCTAAGTAACGGCTTGAGGGTGGTTCACTAGAAGAGGGCGCACACTGAGTTTAAAGCAGGTGAATGACTATAACTAGTCTGGCCCTAACTGGCACAGACCTACTAGCTTATATACATGCTGGGTAAGCCCCCCTAATACTGTAAGACAAGACCCCTTGGTACTTGTGCTCACTACCCTATTGGCTATCTACTGACAACTGCTGACTATCTTACTAACCGGTGTGGATGACAAATCCCTGAGCTGGAGTCTAACTAAAATATCAGGTGACGTGTGAGTCTTGACCACTAAGCGATGCTGAGTAGAATTGCTTAGTGAGCTGTCACCTGATTGACAACCACATCCTGGAACCTTCTAGCTCATTCTCTACTATTCTGTGGATACTCCGGTATGCATCTAATCTATATCTAATTGCTATCTGATAAGATAAGATAGGCACGCACTTATTCTGGAATATATTTGAAAAACTGTGACATACAAGGTCAAAGTTATCCTCACCTGCCAACTGACCACCCCCATTGTGGACCAGACCCCCGAGTGGCCCTCAGGAGTACAAGTAATGTCCCCTGTCAAACTCACCCCAAACCCCTTTACTGATCTACTTAGTGGTGAACCAAATCACTCCCTTCGCCACTGTTGCCACCACCATCATCGAAAACCACCCCCACCTCCTTCTCCTAGCCCTTCTGGGCCTCATCCTCACCACTCTCCTCTCAGTCCTTGCCCTTGCCCTTATCATCCCCCTCCTCCTTCGTCTCACAATCCAGCACCTGGAACACAAACACCAGTGGGCCTTCAACATTGCCACGACAGCTCAGCACCCCCTCCCGCATACCACCACCACTCTCCCCATCATTGCTGCCAATCGCAACAGCAACAATCCAACACAGGTCTAATTTGAGTACATAAGGGAGCACCAAGATTAGTAACTGGGGTCTTGCTTTGTCTGTAGTAGTTGCCTGTGTTTATATTCTGCTTCTAATCTTTTTAAAACAAATCCTCTTTCTCTGTTTCCCTATGCCGGCTGAACAAAACATGCGCACTAGGAACAACAATGCGACTCAGAACCCTGATCTGCGGTGTCGCCCTCTGGCTCCTAGGCATGACAATTCTCCAACAACTGGTCCCCAAAGAGTGCCAACCCCTTACCCTTCCCACCTCCAGGCGTTAGAAGAATGTTTCACAGCAGGGGTAATAGAGATGCCCACTCCCATTCGGCCAATCCTAAGCTTCCCTTCCCAGCAGGAATCCGATGACTTGTCACTAGAATTTCTTGATGAAGAAGGCTTCTGCTATCCATTCGCACCCCTGTCAAATGTTACTTGTTGGCCATTCCTAATCCCAGGACCCCCAGAATCTTCCAACAGTGATGCTATAGTATTACATCAATTCCCCAGACCGCTGGAGATCCCTCACAACACCTCGGAAGTGTCCACCGGGTCCTATCATATCGCCCCTGCACAGGTTTTCCCATCCTTGTCGCCTATGAATGTCTCTTCCTCCCCAAATCCTGACAGTCCGACTGCTGTGACTACTGACTCTCCCAATATGCCACCTCTTGCCTCTGATGTCTCTGACAACGGTAGCCTCGACCACACTCCCAACCTGCAACTACTAGCTAATGTCAGCAAGTACGTCATAGCATCCGAAGGACACAGCAGTGATCCCCAGGAGTTTGTGGTCTACAGTGACAATATCATCTGATGTCCCTCCAACGACATTACCTGGTCTTGGCAATCCATTCCCTTTGACACCTCTACCCCGGTTCAAGATGTCAATCCCTTGGAATGTGTACTACCCCACTTCCATGGAGCATATACTACCACCATTACTTGATCTCCTATGGGCATTCCTATCAATGGGAATCCTGCATTTGGATTACGACAGGTCTCGACAACTGCAGCAAATGCACTCCAAACCGCTGAACCTGTAGGGAACTGGGACTCTTCAGACAAGGAATGGGAGGAGGATACTTGGGAATACTTGCTGACACAAGATGATAACTTGTTGGAAAGTCTTTGGGCGTCGCTACAAGACATCAAGGATCCCGGCGTGACTTATGAAGTCAATTGCTTCAGGGCTGTTGATGCAAAGATAGATCTCCTACTTGCCATACGACGATCTATAGGGGTGGAACTCATTTGTGCAGAAGAAGAAATGAGCCAATGCTGGACATGCCTTAGAGCGGCCAACTTGGAGGAACGTCTCAAACAACATGAATTCTCCATTATCACTCCCCCCTCCAGCGCCATGCCTTGATGTCTTCGCTTCTGTATAAAATGTGAGGTGGATGGACATCTGCAAAGTGAGTGTTAGCATTGGCTATGTTCTTTCTGCAGACTCCTACATCCTTGTCATAAATTCCGCACCACCATCAAAGTCCAACCGGGACAGCTCCCTTGTCCTACCAACGAACCTGGGTACCTACAAGAATGACATGCTCAATGGAAACTCTGAACGACAAATCTGGAGAGGGGGGTAATGTTACAGCATGAGAGGGGGGTTCTTTT